ACCACGGTTATTAATAATTTTATATTTCTTTATGCAACCCGAGAATAGTTTACACAATCATTAAAAAMCTTATAGAGCYRGTAAATTACAGGGCTGGTAACAAATTTACAGACTGTTCTTTATGCAACCCGCCCTTAGGGGTTGTTCAAAATTACCATTTTTAAGTCTATGTCACTGTCACACATCATACTCTCAAATTTCATAGCATGTCCAGGTGTTTTAGAGGGCACTAAGGATCTATYTTCTGGTTAAATTTTCTATAATTCTGCTTAAAAAGCAAAATGCTATATATAAGCTAAGTATTTGTTAAATTTTAAGTGTTGTTAAAAATTTAAAATAAATAATGGTTATTTCAAACTAGAAATTGTTAGTTATTAATTGTTATTGTACTATTACAACAAAACTGCATTACAATTATGTAATAATATGACAATTTTAATTTTCTCCACAACAATGTACCATATAAGATTGTATTATCCCATTATAAAATATGGTGTTTRAAATGGAAAATTTTAGTGTCAGTAATTATATATGTTGGATCATGCATTGTTTGGATCTAGATGTATTACTATATTTTAATTATTAATTAACTTCAATCATAATCCTACCAATGTATAATCAATAAAATATAAATAAAATATGTTTTTTTTTATATAATTTATTCAGCGGTGTTATACAGTATAAAGTGATGTTATTATACTTAAGTTCTTACAAAATTAAKGTATAATAGAATTCTGAATAAAATATTWAAAAAATCTAAAATTTTAACCATAAATATGTTTCTAAGTGTTTATGGGAAAAACCATGATGTAAAATTATAACTGAAAACTATGAATCATTTTTTTTATTTAATGAGCTGCATCAATTTTTTTTTGTTCTTCAATTTGTGGACTTTCTGCTTCTGGTTCATCAAACACGTAATCAATATCTTGATGAGGCCAGAAGGATGGTTTGTTCTGCAAATCCAATGTTAATTCCGGTTGAATATAAGCAGCATCTTCAAAGGTCATTTGGCCAAATGGCAGCAAACTGTTAATTTCAGCAATCCTTTTTTCAGCTTCTTTGATTATCACTGACGATTCAACTTTGAATTCTTCAATACCCTTCATCTAATAATTAAAAACGATACATTTAGCAAATAATAAGACTTGCTAATATTGTCAATGATAAAAGTGAAAAAAAAAATTACAATTTCCTTTTCATGTTTATCAATAGCTGGAGTGTACTTATCCTCAGGATAAGGGATTTTAATTGCATTGTACATTTTCTCAAAATTGTCGACCAACCCAGGCACGGCCACTTTATTTTTATATGCTGCCCAATCAATTTTTAATGGTTCAGCTGGAGAGGCCAACATTCTGTAAGTATTTATTAAGCAAATAAGAATCGTGCATATAACAGTTTAACAAATATTAGAGTCATTAGAAGTCATTTTAACACCGGGCGTATGGCCTTTAAATGACCTCAACATACTTGCGAAGATATCCATCGGACTTGGCTTTGAACGCCAAGTAAGACGCTTTGTCAGCTTCTGGAACTCGTTCAGCAATTGCAGCCCAATTCACAGAAGATTGAGCTATACGTTTAGATGCCATCTTAGATTAAAATTGAATACGAAAACTTGAACAAACAATCAAGACTTCACTAGAGAATTTTCGAGAAATTATGACACTAAAAAATTGGTTAATGGTTATCTGGGAAATATATTTGTGTTATCACATTTGCAGCTGTGCTAAAGAAATATCAGTTTCAACACTTTGAAAGAAATCATTGAACTATATTATAATAACTGAAGCACTGGTCAGTTGCCACACAGTGTTGCCCGAACAAAAATATTAAAAATAGATGGCGAATATATTAGGCATAAAGATTTTTTTTTTTTTTTTATTGAAGATAAAAGTGTATTTACAATCTATACATACTACATACAGTTGTGTAATATTAATTAAGTAGTGTGGTGACTTAAAAAGAAAAAGAAAAAAATAATAACATTAATTACAGAAAAGGAAGACTCCCAGCGGCCAGCAGTGCCACCTGACAAGAATTAGGCATAAAGATTAGAATATTATTCTAGTCTTCATGATATTAGGTGTTTCTTTCTTTGCATAACATACGGTGCCAATGTATAATTTTATTTTATATCGATATGTCAACATAGTACGTGATACCTAATTTCACATTTGTCACTTTGGCAAGTTTTTTAAATCGTTCAAATCTAATCATACACATCACATAAAAAAACATACAATGCAGGATAAATTAAACATGAATTATTAT